GCTGGGAAACAGTTGTGCACGTAAGGAGAGAGGCAGGAAGGAGGGAGGATATATAAGACACAATTTTGATAATAGACAACAGCAAGGTGGCGCCAGAATTACGGGGACAGAATGACAGAATATGAAAGTAAACCTTCTGTGACACCATAAACACGAGTTTTCCCCATAAATCACAGTGAAAGTGAATTTTTGCTAACGCGAAGCACAGGAGAGTGAGTGAGATTCTATATATAGGGAATAAGCTCACACACAAATGAACCAAATGTGAATTCCAATGGACGGAAAGATATCTTTCCACCTGCAAAAGAAATGAATTTTTCATTCTAAAAAGTGCTTTCAGTGCTCTTAACTTTTGTGGGGAATTTCAACTGAATCTTAAACGGTTTATTTTAGATTTTTGCATTACTTTTTATGGGGAGCATATATTTCTCTTAATATCCACAGTCTTTGCTCTCCCGTTCCCTCTTTTCATGTTTCCCATTACCAGGAGAGAACAAAAATCGTTGCCTACTTCTAGGCTGTGCCCCATAATCGCTTAACTTTATTCCACCTCCAAGGAAGTGAAGAGGAGAGGGATGGAAAGTGGTGCAGAGGAGGCGTTCCAATAAACGCTTCCGAACTTTGGCCAACGATGTGCGAATGATAGAGTGCTACAGGGGATGAGGTGGCGGTGGCTGCTCCCAGGTAGGGTAGGAGACCTTTTTTGGGGGGTTGCAGCAGCGAGCGAGCGCTCATAAAACTCTCGTAATCATTACGAGCCAGCCAGCTGTTTTCCCTGCCACGCGCAGCAGCAACATCCGAAACAAAACAAAAGCAGCGACAGCAGCGGAAAAAAAGGAAAAACCAAAGGAGGAGAATGTGAGAAAAAGAAGTGAAAATACTTTTGCCTTTGATGGCCTGAGTCTGAGGCTCGTTTCGTTTCGTTTCGAGCGATTTTGGAGCTTAACCTTGACTCGCTTACGGCCTACACTGTGGGAACGGATGCGATGGATTCTAAGGATATGATGGGACTCTTTCGTCGAGTGTAGCAGCGAGAGCGCACACTCAATAGGGGGCGTGGAGGAGCGCCATCTTGACGATGACTGCCGCCGCGTTGCGTCTCGTCGCGTCGCGTCGCTTCGCCTGTTGTCACTGGCTTGGGCGTCTAATCTTATCTGTTACTTTCGGATGGCGCTCCTGTGTATCCCTCTTTCTGTGTGTCCTCCTGGGTCGTCTCCTCAAAGTCATTTAAAATTGTTGTGCACATAAAATACGTAGTAGGATGCGGAGATGTTGGAGCTGAAGATGGAGCATGCCCGTCCCCTTTTCTTTGCCTTCACAAACAGAGAGAAGAGCAGAGCTCTTCCTAATTTGGTCCACGCGACTTTTATGACTTTAGTGTGGCTCCTCCATTCACTTTTAGCCTCTGCTGGGGATTTGTCATTATTCCAAAAACCGATAGAGAGAGGTAAAGACGAGGATGAGGAGGAGCATCAGCCGGATGATGCTTTGGCTTTGGCTTTGTGTTTTCCCATTGATTCATATTTTTTTATACAATTTTTAATGTTTATTCCTGGTGGGGTCCTTGGTGGTGCTTCAACGGCGGCTATTTATAGCGAGAGGGCCCCAAGAGGGTGCAGAAGGTTCTCTTGAAGAACGGAAACCCAAACATGCAACACGGACACGGACATGGACATGGATCAGGCATTGCCTGCTGGGCAAACTAATTATAACATTAGGGAGGGATAAGAGGCCAGCGGCACAAGCAGAAGCAGCACACGGGGGACAAGTACAATACATTCTTGTATCTACACCTACACACACAGTTACACACACACATGTTTAGACGCCAATCAATAATTTTGCCAGAGGCATTTTTTACATTTTCACTGGGAGGAGACTGGGCTCCATCAAAGGATGGAGCTCTCATGCATTCACACAACTTTACACTTCATTAGACATCAGGAGACAGAAGGAGCACACTGGCTCTGTGGCTCTGTTTCTCTGTTTCGCTGAGTGTAGCCTTTGAAATGCTTAAAAATAAAAATATAAATAACAATGTAGATGTGAATGTGTATGTTGGAGGAAAACTCTCGAATCGCTGGGCAATTGATTAATCCGGCGTTAATAATACCTTAGCCTTAGCTGCTCCTCTGCTGCTGCTAGTTTTAGTCATCGAATCTATGGCCAGGGCACAGGGCAGGGACACTGTCACAGGGCATCCACTGTGTCAGAGATGGTCTATTTTTATCCCCACTTGAAATGAGAGGACAGAGCGGGAGCGGGAGCAGCTATCTCCTCTTCTCTCCCACGGAAGTTCATCAAGGACCCTGCCCCACTCCGTACGTCTGCCCACCCATCCACCTGTCAAGCATCCCGACACATCAGTGACATCTCTATGGGGCGCATGGAAGAGTGTGAATGGAAATGTATTTCCCTTACAGCACTCAACACTTGAGGCAGTTGTCAATTTCCGTCCTCACCCTCAGCCTCTTCCTTGGCTTGCCAGGGCCTCCGCCTTCGGGCGCCACTTCCTTTTCCTCTTCGATTGCTGTCCAAGGGAAAACGTCTTGCACGTGCAAAGGCAAAGGCCAGGCAAAGGCGACGGCGACGGCTCATGGCAGAAAAATCAATTAACTTAAATTAATTCCACGAATCGCATTTCTCTCTTCTACGGCAAAAGTTTTTCCCCTTTCGGGAGAATCCAGAGAACAGACCAGAAATCCCGAATTCCGGGCACACACAAACATCTCCTGTATGTAGGTATACTCTGTGTATCTGAATATCCTCTGGATATCCTCTGTGTACGTATCCTCGCATGAGCTTAGGATTGTAAATTTGTTTGCGCCAGACTTTCAGTGCAGAGAAAGAGCTTTGGCTCTTGCTGCTGCTGCTGCTGTACGAGTAATACCAAATGTTCCGGCAATTTAATTTGCATTTTACTCGAACGAGAACGAGGTACGCGGTACGCGGTACGAGACATGTGCCCCCAATCGATGCCTTGGCTTAGGCCACAGATGAATTCAATTGCCACATGTGTGGGGCAGGGGACTCGTCTATTGAATGTATGTAAATCCTTTTGGGGGGTTGGGGGATAGGAACATCGATAGAGATAGAGAGAGAAATCCCTAAATGCGATTTCTATCAAAGCATAATGAGCCGTAATTATTGAGGGAGCGGCTCTCTCAAAGGATAATTGTTGAATGGAAATCTATCAGTGGAGCGCCCCTCAATCCCCTTACCCAAGGCTATTACCATATTAATTACCCTCAGTCCCCGCCTCTGTGTACTGCCGCCTGCCCCGCCCAACGCTTGTCAATCGCTCTCTGGATATGCACACACATTCCGTGTCCTGTGTCCTGGCTTAATGACCTTTTAAACCGCAGGACAACTGATGTCGACTGATAGCTGCTGCTCTTCCAGTGCTGCTGCCAGTGCAATTACGAAATTTTCCAAATGATTGGACGGTAGCTCCTCGATTGACAGCAACAGCAGCGGCAGCAGCAGCAGCAGCAGCAGGAGAACGGAGAGGAGAAGTAATCAATTGCATTTGTGGCCATTAGGCGACGTTTAAAACTGAATCGATTGCCATCGAATATCCAATATCCACTGAGGGAAATCAGTTTTCATATTTTCATAATTAATTTAATGGGACACAACCGCCCCGCCCGAGAAACTTCTAGGCAAACCAGAGGCAAAGTACTCCGCATGGGTGGGGCACTGAAAATCTAATTAGGAAAAACTTGTGGCCTGACTTTATACCCAGAATAATATATTCGGATTCGTATTCGTATTCGGGGAGGAAGTCTTCCTTGCTCGTTCATTTTGCATGCATTCAAAGGAGGCTTCTGCTCCGTCCCAGAGGTGAAGTTTTTGGAGAAGAATGAGTGATTTGAAGAGAATAAATGGTGGGGAGAGCTGGCGAGAATAACTACGTTACTACATATTATCCACACAGATGGAAAATTAAAGTTTCCCAACACGTAGACAAACACATCGTCATACTCTTACTCGCACTCGCATCCTCGTATCCGTATGTGTCGTATTATTGTAGTAGGAGTTGCGACTGAGTCGCATATCCTTTTGGACACATTCTGCGCACTCGGTGGCTACAAGTTGTGCATAAATAATTTATAGCAGCTGCTGCGGTTGATTGACTAACTGATTGGATGACTGAATGACTGACAGAATGATGTGCAGAGCAGAGGGAGCATTGCTCCCTTCACACATATGCCATGCCCCCAAAAGGGTGGCAGTGGGAGTGGAAGTAGGAGAGGGAGTCCGTCCTCGTATGTGCGCAACAAATGGAAATCATTGATTGCTTTGACAATCGCGGAAATTTTTTGCACCCCATGCAGCGTTCCGTTTTGTTCTGTTCTGTCAGAACAGAAGCCCGGACCGTCAAGGACAGAAAGGATATCAAATATAGCAAACGCAAGTATTCCAGGTGGGACGTGGGACAGAGGGGCATTGGTGGTGGGCGTGGGGGGCTGAGTGTGCGCACGTCATCGGTTTGAGGAAAAGGCTGCCCCACACAGAACAGAACGCGTCAATCTCTCTATTCGCAAAAGTTTAACGAACTTGGGAGGGAAATGTTGTATACGAGTATGTGTGCTTATGTGTGTGTATGTGTGTGTGTGTGTAATGGGTTTATCTGTATTTGTGTATACGCACTTTGTATACGGCCATTATGTATTGCAGAAGAGAGAAAGGAATAGAAAAGCTTTCTTCATATTGGGTGTGGTTTTTGGCTTCGAGGAAAGCTCTTTCCCAGGATACATGCGACTGTACATTCTACACGACATGTAAGCAAAGAACATAACCCTCTGTTACTTTTGATTATAGCGGGTGTACAGGGATAGGCAGATAATAATCCATGGGATTGGTTTATAAAGTTTCCCACCTTAAACCCATTGAAAATACTGAAGGTTTTCTTTTGCTTAATCTGTGTATTTAAATATGTTGTAACATTATTTTTTAATACTCGTTGAACATGAGCCACTTACTACCCTTAGTATTTATTACCAGCCATGCTCCTTCTGCAGGACATGCTTGTAGATGGTTATCGGTACGGGATAGGGTTTAGGCACCGGAATCCTGATCTGCTTGATCACCTCCACGGGATAGGGCTTCTCCACCTCCACGGGATAGGGCCTCTCCACCGTGTAGGGGATCTTCCGTTCGGTTATCTCTGGGACTATCTTGTACACCGGCACTTGGATCTCCTGCTGGACGGGCACATGGACGGCATAGGGTTCGGGAATCTGTAGCCGGATCACATTCGGTACTTGAACGGCCACCGGATGGGGAATGGGCAGCGGAATCTTCTCGATCACATGCACTGGCACGTGCTTGGAAATCTCCGAATATGTGGTGGGTGTATGATGATGATGGTAGTGTCCCTCTCCTCCACCTCCACTTCCGCTACTCCCACTGCCACTGGCGCCGCTTCCACCGTAGTGGCCTCCATCCCCTCCTGACCATCCATCGTCGCTGTGCTCCGATGCGAAAATCATCTGTATTCCGCAAATCAATATCTAATTGAAGGGAGAAATGTCTGGAAATGGCCTCGATTCTGGCTTCGCTTCTGCCTCTGGGATGCACTTACTAGTCTCCACATTGTGTCCTGTGTATCCTCTTTGTGTGTGCTGTGTGGCTGGAACTCAGTCGAGCAATGCGAATGGTTGCCATCTGTCCGATGGCTTTTATAGCCTCCCAAATGCAAAATGCAAAATGCACAAGCCAAACGCCGCCCAAAAGTGAAAGATTTGCAATGGGATCGGGCCTGAGCCCTGATGTAACATCGTAATAGAAAGTATTGCATTACCATTACCATTTCGCTCGCATAATATTCATTGTGCACATTTCCCAGCTGCAAATGTTAAATCAGCAGCCAACAAGATTGAGTTCAAGCGGGTATCAAGTGGTTCCCACTTGCCACGATCAAGTGAATGTCCAGTATTTAGGGTTAAGGTTGTTGCACGTACTCCTGCTCCAATTGCTTCCGTCAACCGTGGCTGTGGCAGCTGGAAAAGTGATAGTCCAACCAGCGCTACAATGCAACAGACCAGACCTTGCATTTTCCCGTCAGACAACTTTTAATCAGAGTCCAAGCCAAAAACTGGTTAACAATTGGCAACAACAAATGGCTTTCAAATATGATTTATTTTTACAAAATATGTCCGCTAGTTATGCCATGGAAAAGTGCCAAAACTAGTCAAAACTCTCTAACTAAATTGTGGATTACTAAGCACTAGGAGCCCTTCCTATCAGGGCTTCCTTCAGGGGGCCTCTGCATCCAGTTCGTCATCCCATTCCCAGTCGTTGAAGTCATCCTTTAGGAGAAAAGAAAACGAATTAGAGTCTGCGAAGGAATCTTCTTGAACGAAGCATCTCTCCCACACTCACATAATCATCCAGATTGCCCTTCTCCTCGGGCAGGGCTCGGGGGGAGCAGGCCACGTAGGAGACGCCCGTGTTGTGGGCAGAGCACTCGCAGGTCTGACCCTGGATGGGCTTGGCACTCAGAGCCACGCGTTTCGCGAAAATGGTGGCGAACCGCTTGATGGGATACCTTCGTTCCGGCTGCAGCTTGCGGGCACTAAACACCGATCCCTCTGTTTCGAGGGCCAGAGGCGTGCAGATGCCCAGATTGCTCTTGGGGATGTGCACCTGCTTGCGGGTCTCGTTGTCGCCCTCGGGGAAGCGCTTCGAGTAGACGAGGTCGCGGTCCATGCCAAAGAAGTGGCGCAGCTTGCGGCTGCGCTCAAAATCGAACTCTGTGTCGGCCAGGATGTGAAGATTGATCCCCTCCTCCAGCATGTACTGCAGGATGGAGGTGTAGTCGAAGCGCATGTCCTTGGCGGCACACCGGCTGCAGGAGAGCAGGATGAATGTCTTCGATACCCCTGGGCGGAAGTTCAATTTGGCTGCCGCGGAAATGGCCATTAGGATGTCGCTGCTGCTCCCGTTTCCGGTGTTGATGTGGCCAAAGTAATCCGATAGCTGCTCCGGCCTCGCCGTGAACTCGTTGTGCTCGTAGATGATGCTGCGTGCCCGGTCGAAGGGGGCCACTCCACCAAAGGCAACGACAGCATAACTGAACGAGAGACAGGGAGATTTAATGTAGAAGGAGGTGGATTGGAGGAAGGGTTTTCGGGGGACTGTGACTACCCACCGATTGTTGGCCAGCCCGGCGGCCTGCAGCTGCTCCTCGATGCTGCTGACGACAGTCATGATGTTCTTGGACACATTCAGATTGGCATTGCAGTCCTTGGCCTCAACAATGAAGACCACATCGCTGCTTTGAGGGATGTCCACGCCTGTAAGCTCCATGAAAGTGCCCTCGGGCACATACGAGCCATTCGCCAATTGGCAGCTGAGGGAAAACAGAAACAGAGACAGAGTCAAGGAACCACATCGCAAGGACAGGAGATGGAAACACTCACAAGACACACTGCGAGGGCACACGCATGGGCACCTTCAGGGCCGTGCAGGCCTCGATGTAGGCCAGAGCCGCGGCACAGGCTCCCTTCACAGCCGGATGTCCGGTGCGGATGGGCGCCGACTTCATGCCCAGATCCAGGCACATCTCGTAGAAGGGCGTGGGATCCAGGACAGCACTGCAGGTGGACAATATGCCCGTGCGGAAGAAGCTGCTGCATGTCTCGCTCACTTCCTTGGTGATGGCCGGTCTGAGGGACGGCTGCGTCTGGCGGCACTGCTGCAGGCTCCAGGAGTCGGTGAATGATTGCGTCTGAGTCTCATTGGCAATCACACTGTTGGACATGGTGTACTCGTCGTAGGGCTCGTTGTTCAGGGTTCCCAGGAGACCCGCGGTCTTGGCAAAGTACCAGCCGCTGACCTCGAACCAGCAGAGATCAAACTGCACGTTGCAGTGGAGGCTGAACTGCGTGTCCGAGGTGATGGATAGGACATCCAGATCCCGGTGGATGTTCACGGCTCCCAATTTGAGGGGGAGAATGGGTTGGGGATTGCCATTGACAGTTATGTGCTGCGCATAGAGGAGGAAGAGGGTGGTGTAAAATATCTGGTGTAAAAATTATCCCACAGTCACCTACATCTGTTGCCAGATCGATTTCAATCAATTGTCCATTGGCTATGAAGCTCAGCTTTCGCGTGAGGCCCTGAGACTGGGACGATGGCTCCAGCAGTAGAGTGAAATTCCGCTTGAAGAAGTCGTGGGCCAGCAGGTAGCTGCACTGGGGATTCGCGAGTCCATCAAAGTCCAGATTGAGGCCCACATAGCGCTGATCGAAGGTCATGTAGTGCCGTGAATCGATGAGCAACGCGCGAGCTAAAGAACAGAAATGCATTAAGGGAGAGTCTCCCACGGGCAATGTGACTCTAAGAACTCACAGTAGTAGGGGGGCAGCCATGTCTTGGGATCCAAGTGTGCCCGCATGTTGTAGAGCTTCATGACAATCGAGGAATTCGTTTCGGAGAAGAAGCTCTGCACCTTGGAGAGCATCTGGTACTCGGGTATCTCCTCGAACTTGGGCGTCTCGTTGAAGGCGTGCCAGGACATAGGCAGCTTCTGCTCCAGATCGATGATCCCCACCTCGGGGTCGAACACAAACTTGGTCTTGGCTTCGCGGTACATGTCCGCCGTCTCCAAGGCATTCATTGCGTAGTTTCTGAATTTATTCCTCAAGAGGCCGTACACCTGGTGGAGGCGATGCTCCAGCTGCAGCTCATCGGCCACCCAGTCGATCTTGGCCACAATTTCGTTGTACTTTTGCACCATGATCTGCACTTGCTCGATCTTCTCCAGCTCCTTGAGCTCCTGCCAGATCTCGGTCAATACCTCGTTTAGCTCTGCCCCAAAGGGCACCAGCTTAAAGTACTTTTCCTTGACGAAATTCCACGCGAGAGTCGAGTACTTTTTGATGTTGGTGATGGCATCGTTGGCCTTGAAGTCCCTGTAAAGCCGCTCCGCATCCGCCGTGAAGCTGGATACCTTGTTGAAGTACGGCGACTCTGCCAGCTCATTCGTTCGCTTGTAGATAAAGTCAAAGACCTCTTTGCTCAGATCCCACGCTGTCGTTTCGATGAAGCTGATCATCTTGAACATGTGCGGCTCAAAGCGCTTGAGCACATTCTTCCAGTGGTTCTCCGCGAGGGTCCACGACTTGTGCCACAGGTTCTCGATGTACTTAATGAATTTGATGTGCAGCTCCTTTACGAACTTGTCGTACTTCTCAATGCCCTTCTCCATCAGCGTGGATACGTAGCTGAGGCTCTCGCCGTGGAAGAATCTGCTCACGGCCTCCAATAGATTGTTGTATGTAGTTTTGATCGTCTCGATCAGCCACACAATGCTGTTGCGCAGAGCCTTGCCAGAGTCGCCCATCGCCTGCCACAGCTCCGAGAAGATTTTCGGCAGCGACTCGATGTGGTCCCTGATGGCCAGCTCGTCGAGGATCGTCAGCGTAAAGTTCACCACATGCTTGATGTAGAAGTCGTTGGCCTCGTATGACTTGTTCACGAACAGTCTTAGATCGTTCAAGTCCTCCTCCAGGACACTCAGCTGGCCGATGTCCTCAATGAACTCTTTGTTGTACTCCCGGGCCGTGGCCCACACCACGCCCACCGACTCCACCGTCTCCGTGTAGATGGACTTGATCCAGAAGTCAATCCCCTCCGAGAAGGAGCTGTAGACAGAATTCCCCACGCCATGGATCTTCTCCCGCAGTTCCCCGCGGATGGAGGGGCGCCAGTGGAAGCGGCCGGTGATGAGGCGTGAGTGGTTCATCTTCAGGTAGGAGCTGACGTCGATCACTCGGATCTCGTCGTAGTTCCGCCAGATGTCCAGGTAGCCGCTGCGCGTGTCCGGAATGTAGCCGACCATTTGCAGGTTCTGGCTGGCATCCTCCGTCAGGTTAAAGTCCATGCGGGCGAACCGCTCCGCCAGATCCACGTACACATAGCCCGTGTGGTTCGTGTCCGGCGTGTCCCAGATGGTGGCATTCAGCCCGTATACGGGATACTGCCACGTCGGCAGCAGATGCAGCCGCACGGCATGGAACGGCGACTGGCGCTCGTACTCCAGCTCCCGCTTATTGAGATCGAGGAGGGCCAGGAACTTGCCATATCTCGCGGGGAAGATGTCGCGCTTGTAGTGGGCCGTCGACTCCGTTTTGTAGTAGGAGGTGCGTGCCGCCAGAGTGCCATTCAGTTGCACATCCAACTCCGACGCCTGGTGCTGGCCGTAGATCTTGAACGTGTAGTTTGTGTGCCCCAACTGGCTGTACAGATCCCGCAGTTGGGCTCCCAGCACGATCAGCTGTTCGGGCTGCTCCGAGTAGTCGATGGTGAGATGCGTTCGCAGCAGATCCTGCGCTCCGCGGTAGTACGTGGCCCTGCAGTTGATGTCCTTCTGGAGGTAGGGATGGGCCACGGATAGCCCGAATGTCCTGTGGTCGCGATCCCCGCGATGCAGCGGCTCTGCCGTCCAATGCAGATTGCTGCGAATCGTCTTGGGCTGCTGGTAAAGATCCCCGCCGCCCCACTGTAAGGACAGATCCGAGTTGAAGTGGTTGTCCGTGATGTAGTACTGGCCGGAGGTCGTGAGGTTCCTCTTCGGGTAGAAGATGTCCAAAGCGAAGCTCTGGGACTCGTTGCCGACCTGCAAGAGAAAAGGATACATAATTATAGACTCCCCACGAGGAAAAATGAGGGATCCTCCCACATACCCTCGTGAAATTGCCCAACTCCAGATTGTAGCCAATCCAAGCCGTCTCCGACAGCTCCAGTTTCGTGTG